CCCCAAAACCCCAAAACCCCAAAACCCCAAAACCCCAAAACCCCAGGTTTCAGCTACAAGAATGAACTAATAAAATATCCAACTTATTTATTATCCAATCATGAGGTCAAGTTGAGAAGAAGCGAAATCATCATCAAAAGCAGCGAGTCTTTGCTTATACATTTCGGTATTCTTGGGGTTGTAGTTGTTGTTAAATTGACTAAAGTTGTTCCTCTGCTCCATTAATGGATGGTTTGAGAACTCATCTTCCGACTCCTCCACTGTTTCTTCTTCTATAGAGCTCTGTCTTCTCTTTCTATTCCGACCTCTTCTTCTTCCTCTAATGCTTTCTCTCTTCTTCTGTTTGCTAATTTCGATATCATTGGTTTTACAGATGGGACATTCGGCCTTAACATTACTAACACCTTCATTTATTCTTCTGTTCTTTAGATCTTCAAAGAAGCACTTGTAATGGAACTGGTGGAGACATTGAGTGAGGATAAAGGCCTGGTCTACTGCAGATCCTAGAAGGTTCTTACAGAGAGAGCATATCTGCTTGTCTTTCTCTCCTACAAAGCCTACGTTGTTCTTCTCAATAATTGTCTGGATTAGTGCTCAATTTTCATTACTGAGTAGCTTCTTTGCACTTGTGTAGAGTAGCTCCTGATCATTTTTCGAAATATACAGGCTATTGAACCATGACTTTGCATGTTTATAAGTAATATCTCTGTCTATCTCTAGCGAAACATCGATAATTTTAGTGAAATCAACATATTCTGACATCAATTGCATATATTCTGAGATCTTCGTATATACAAATGGATTGATCAGATCGTTTTTGGATTCAATCTCTTGGAAGTTATTTCTAATAAAGAATAAAGCTTTGAGTGTCTCAACCCATATTTCATCTTGATTCTTATTTCTTTTAGAGTGAAGCCTAAGATTATCACAAATTTCTTCAAATATATCAAAGAATGAGAGAATGTGCTCTTTTTGATATTCATTGGCCCCACTTGCAAGAATCTGTTCCTCTAAACTAGTATGAGGGATATTCTTCAACAATTCGAGGAAGATCTTGATACTGTCAGAATACATTCCTTCTCTCTTTTTCAAATGAGCTTTAGCTTCCTGAACCAATGTGGAAGAGCTTTTAGAGACTCTATCCAAACATCCGAGAGGATAATAGTTTCTCTTAACAATCTCTATCAGCTTTGGATCGTTATTTCTAGCAAGTAACTCAACATGTTGGATTAAATAATTCTTATAGTTAACAGCTTCCTGGCTGGTTTTTGATTGGAGCGATGAAGCAGCAAATTTTTCAATAATATCTTCCTCCCTTTCTTTAAGATATGACTCTAGGTATTGAAGTTGGAGTTTTGGATTTTTGCCTAGTTTTAGAATTACATCTTTCTGCTTGTCTGGAAGCCACTCATCAATGATATTTCCTGTGCTTGTTGGGTCAATGTTGACAAGCTCTTCTATAACTTCAGAAATTTTATTTTTCAGGTCTTCAATATTATGCTCCTTCTTTTTGTCCTTCTTCTTTGCTAATTTAGTAAGCCAATTGAATATTTCTTTCTTATTAACACGTCGTGACTCAAGGAAGATCATGATTCATTTCTGAAAGTCCTGCTTTTGTTCATAAAGATGAATTTTAAGCTTATCAAACTTCAGCTGCTCAGCAAGTTCGATAATGTCATCTAGCTCAGACACATCCATGGTTGAAGTGTAGAATTTAATAACTCTTAGAACTTCATTTTCAGTCTTTTCAGGGTCCATTCCTTCAGGCCCAGAATATACATATATTCTTTTAACCTTAATAGGATCTTTTACTTTTGGCTTCTTATTGTATTTAATGCACTCTTTGAGGATATTAATGACACTGCTATATACTTTAGCAGACAACTCATAAGCGTTTTCTTTGCAGTAATCAGAATCTGCTATTTTAATGATAAAGTATGAGTATTCGAACTTAATAAAGTCTTGATCCTGGATTGTTAAAATGTGCCCATGCAAGATATCCACGATCTTAGGATGGCTGAATGGAATGTACTCATCGTCCCCACAGTTATCTTCATCATTGCATTTCAATAAAGTTTCAGCAATGAAAGGGTTCAGGAAAAGCTCAGATACAACACTAAAGAAAGTTCTAGCATTGAGTCTCATAAGTTCTGTAGATTCTTCCTCTCTGAGTAGAAACTCGATACTTTGGCCAAGGAACTCAATTCTTTGGATCTTACTGAGCTTTCCACTTGGGAATTTTTCTCCTTTTATAAAGAGTTTGATGATATACATGAGTTTAATTCCAATGTATTCATAACTAGCCTCAATGCCAAATTTTGATTCATCATCTTTCAGCAATATTTCTTTGACCTCATCGAGAGTTCTCTTTTTATCAGCCTGCTTGAACCTGTTGTAGACATTATTCAAGATCTGGAGGCAGGCTTTCTTCTCCCTCCCAAGAGTAGACGAGATTATCAGATGAATCAGAGCAGTGGTTAGCATTTTCTCTTTACAGATAGTTTGCAGCTGATCAAAGTAAACATAGTGCGAGAAGTTTATCTTCGACACAATCCTTTCAAAATTATGGAACTTTTGATTATCAAAGTAGAAATCACAAAGCTTCTTAAGTACTATATCAGGCAAGTATGCATCTTTAAAGTGTCCGTTTAGGATGAATGGCTCTAGGTTTTCAATGAATCTATCTTCTAAATTTTCTTCAGTGAATAACTTGATTATTCCTGTGAATAAGAAGTTGAGGCATCCTATTCTGTTACAGAATTCTACAGCTGCTTTGATAGCAATGATATCAGCACTATAATTGCTATTGGAAGGAGACTCATTATCATTTTTCTTGAAATTCTTGATCATCGATTTTATTCCTTCTGAAATTAAATCCATCATTTTGTGCTGTAAGAGCCTCTCTCTTTCCTCCTTAATGTATGGAACACCGTAATATCCCTTTATTTCACCATGATAGATGTCAAGAGCAATTTTGAGGCATACTAGCCAGTCTCATTGCTTTTGTATGAACTTGAGGTAATCCTCCCAATGGAAAAGTTTGGCTGACAAGATCTTATCTTGCCCGAGAACTATAATCTTATTCTCATTGACTGTTATCGTATTATTAAAGTTCTGCTTATCTGCAACGATCGAGTATCTGATATTTCCTTCTAAAATGGTTGCTCCAGACTCAAGTTCAGATTTTTGAGAATGTTCTCTTAGGCTTTCTTCCCCTGGAGACTTTTTGTATCTCCCGTAATTCTTTTTCTTGGAAAATGCTTTATTGACTTCTTGGCTTTTGACAGCACCTAAAAGATTAGTTTATAGTTCTCACTTTCTTCCATTATTTTGTGGCCTTCATATCCAAAGGAATTTGGAAGGAAATGAGGGATGTAGAGAACTCTAGCTTCCTTTTTGTTTACGAGTATCATCACAATACTATCTGAGACAAAGTACACACAGTCAATAACACTGTCACTGATGTAGTATCCATCGGCTTTGATTCCACTCATTCCTTTATCAGGATTTTCAAGGATGTAGATCTGGAGAACTTTTCCCCAGGCTACTGCTAGTAGGCACTTAGACTTCTCTCTTGAAACTCTTGGAGTGATGCCATATCCCCAATCTAAATTGTCAATGCTTGAGATTTGTGATCTTTTAAATGTTCGCAAAAGAAATACGGGTCTTGACTGCCATATCTAAGGAGCAATGCTGGGATTAAAGAGGATTAAGTAAGCATAGCCCAAGAAATGCTGAATATTAGTAATCTCTTCATGAGTTTAAGGGTAATAAATTAGGATGAAAGAAGAATAGAGAAGATGTAGTGAGATACTTTAGCAGAAAGTGAGGTCAAGAATTTGTAAGGGAAGGCGAAAAGTAAGCATGCTATGACTTGTAGTTATATATTACCGAAAAGGTAACTCACTGAATTTACTGTAGAAAAGTAGTTAATGCAGACACCGAGTTAATTACATAATGGAGATATCTATAAGGAAATCCTACTATTTTTGTAAAATGTAATCTACTACAAATAATCGGCTAAAATGAGGATAGATAATAAAATCTCTACTAGAGAAAAATTTCTATGGCTACAAATAAGACTCCACTTCCTAAGAATCTACCAGGAGAGATTGTTTCTATGAGCTGTTGATCCTTATCAAGGTTGCTTTCTTAATGGCCTCATTGGAAGGCCACTTAAACTAACCCCTGGGTGTAAAACTTCATTATTGTTTTTTGAGACTTACCTGTGTAGCACAGATGTCCATGCTCAACAAATCCTTGAGCAAATTCATTTCTGCTGCTTGAGAATAGTTTCCTTGGGCTACCTCCTAAAACAGCAACATTGAGTTCCTCAGTATTAGAGAATGCCACAATATTGTGAGTATGCCAATCTGCTACTTCTCTTGGCATCTTTTTGTATGGTTGGAGAGCAGAGAGAGAACAAAACTCTTTAAACGGCTTCTTCATTACAAGATCACTTTTGTAAGAGTACAAATAAAATGTTCTGGATATAGTAATCTTATACAAAATTCCTTTATCATCTCCTGACATTATGGTAATAGGAGAATCTATTGATAAGAATGCAACCTGCTTTATCTCATGATGGTGGACATCATTTATCTCAATAATGAGCTTATTTTTAGTCAAATCGAAGAGAGCGATATTTCCATCAGCATATCCAGCAACAAGATATTCTCCGTTGAGAGAGACATCCATGGAGAGAACCCTATTGATCACTACTTTGTTCTTCTTGAGCACGAGAGGTTTTAATTCTTCGTCAGTCTGGTCATCAAAAATTCTGATAAGCCCCTGGGATATTCCTACAAAGATAAGATTCTGATATTGCTTGATGCAGTAAGGCAGCCCTTCCAATTCTGTTTTTACTAATCTTTTTGAATATATATTCTCTGCTATTTTAGTCAATCTCTGCTGGTGAAGTAGTTTATTTTTCAATGGTATGAATGTTGTAATAATTCTTGTCATATTGAAGGACAGCATAGCTCTTTTGTTCCTCTGTCTTACTCTCATTAGTCTCAACTATTTCGAGAAGACTCATTCTCTTAGCCTGTTCAATAGCTCTTTGCTCTTCTTGCTCATCTTTACGTTCTTGCTCTTTACCTAACTTTTCTCTAAATATTGCCATTTCATCGTCATCATCTTCACTGCTATCACTGAAGTTGATGTTGAGTTTATTCTGAAGATCTTTTTCAAATTCATCTTTCTTCTTTTCCTTTTTGATAAGTGCATCCACTGGATAGTTAAAAGTATAGAGTTACCATCAAAATCTTCTTCGCTACTACTTTCATTGTCGAACTCTTTAAGCATTTGGTCCACTAAGAAATCGTCCTTTTTCTTTTTGTTTTTGGATAAGTAGCTCATCCGATTCATTGAAGTGGCTAATGTGCTTCCAGATGCTTCTAGAGATTCAGAAGTAAGCCATACCTGGTTCAGTAGATGTAGTTTCCATTCGGCCAGGATTGAAAATATCCTTCCTGATCACTTTGTCAATGTTGACTACAAAGATTTTAGATTTAGATAAGAACAATTGGAAGGAAAGTCAATAAAGTTAAGTTAAAGCTACCACATGCATTGAAAGTATAAGCTTTCACTTTTTCTAGGGCCGAATATCCTAATTAAACTTCAGGGATTAACCAAATTTTAATTTGAATGCTAAATCCTCTCTCACTGAAGCTTTAACGCTGGAGAGATCTCTGGATTTGCGTATAGAAAATAGGTTGTATCAAAATTATGGATTGTATCTTACCATCAGTTCCCTTGCCACTCTTTCTAATATTAGCATAGATTATTCTATCAAGTTCGTCTTCCTCTTCGTCATCACTTTCTTGAAGAATCTTGGAAATCAAGTCTCTATTGGAGTCTGTTCCTGACATTTTATGCTATTCTAAATATTATTACAATCTGAAGAGGTTCAAAAGGGGTTTTGGGGTTTTGGGGTTTTGGGGG